GCATAAGATTTTTCTCACCTATGGGGACCATTTCTCTCCATTGGCTGTAAAGAGAGCTTTGCACCAGTAGTCCAGAACCGGACACCTACCCTTTTAAAGTTACAGAATTATATGAGGTGACTCACCTGTGCTTGAACCTCACGCTACGTAGAAATCTCTAGGCAGGAAGCAGTGGAGAAACCTGTCTCCTTGTGCCCTTTTCCACAGCGCACTCCCACTACTGTATAAACAAACATATTCTTTCCCCACTTTCAGAAAGCAATTATTTTGAAACAACCTCTTTCTCTTGACCTTTCCTCTGTTGCAGCCTACTTTTTCCATACCAATTGTGAGAAACAAAACAGAACTTCCACTGATGGTTACAAAATGCTGGGATATATTGTAATCCCGCAGGAACCATTCTTGGAGAGAACCATTTCTAATCAGCAGGGGGAATCGCAACTGCCAGCCACAAATGTTATCCCTAACAGCCGAGTAATCTTTCTGGTTGTCGTGTTCCAGACCTTCTGCTGCATGGCCATCACCCAAACCACTGCGCTTAAAGATCGCGATGTTTTCCCAGCAGTGTTGGGCCTGTTTCCCACTGAACTCCCAAATAATCCTTATTTTGGGAACTGAAAGGTGATGCAGATGGTGCATTCAAAAGTTCAAGCAGATGGTCATGGTGCCCTCCATGTGGTGCTGCCCGTGGTGCCCATGGGTCTGTGCAAGGATGGGTCTCATTCTTGAGTAACACTGAAGGGGCAAGAAAGGCCATTTTCCTCACACCTTGTTCTGTCCTCAAACAGGAGCACAAGAGAAGGCCAGTGAAAGCACCGAGCTGTCCCATGTCATCTCTGCAACTGAAACAGTCGTGGTTTGTCACAGGACTGAGGGCAAGGAACATGCAGTGTTCAGTTCACAAGAGGCGATGAAGAAAACCAGACAAAGCAACTCCAACCAAATCCTGAAGTTCGTCCAGTAAAAGGACATTACCCTAGGATGGACAAAAATGTACCACATTGCTGACAAGCCTGGGTGAGAGTACCCATGTTCCTCGGAGAACTGTATTTCTTTCTTCTCTGAAAAGTACTGACTTTTGTCCGTTTATGGAATCATGTTTCATTTCTGAAATAGACTGTTTGAGCCAATGATTCCGTTTTCAGGAAAGCATCTTTTAGCAGCAGTGCAGGAGAGCACATGGAAGGGGTGAGCGTAATAGTCAAATGCTTATTCAAGAGATTTAGGAGGACTTTGCTACCAACTGACAAAGTTGGGACTTCTGTAGCCAGACATTTTGTCATCCAGTGATACCCATGTGAACCCAGAAAACTCATGTCTTCTGCTGAATATTTGTATGCCACGTGACCTAGATAGTTTGAATGACAAAATTGATGCGTCAGTATTAGCAGTCCTTAAAAAAATGTTTCAGGGAAAGAAAGGGGATGAATGAACCTTCATTTTGAATTTCTTTAGCTTTAAGTTTGATTTCATCTAGAAGTACAGTAGTTCCGGAATAGTTATTTGCACCCTATTTTAATTCAGCTGAGCTAAAGTAAACACATCTTTAAGACAGAAGGGATGGGCAGTATATTTGTCTCTCTGTACATCAGGCATTCACTCTCTAGCTAGTGTTTGGTCTCTTACTATCTTAAAATTGACTTTTTTATAGCATTGTACTAGGGAAGTGCTCGCGGTATGATTATGATATTGAATATGATATTATGCTGATAGCTTTGTGGAAGTTAAAGATCTAATAGTATTTTCAACATCTTATGGTATAAATGTTCTGGCATGCATGACATGTCAGTTAAAAGTTTATTCATATTAAAGAGGATGTGAAAGGGGGTGGTAGCAATTTCTAAGTATCTTTTTGTGTGAAAATTCTTGCTGCAGAGAAAATTACAGTTGTTCCTGAAGAAAGTGTTCACTTATGAGGTTATTTAAGAATAGGTTGTTGCTGTGCAAATCCATATGAAGACTTGTCGGTTAGTCAATACTTGAACCATTGTTGCGCACATCAAACCTATGCCACTTGGCTGCATTACCAGCAGCTTAGGCAATCAAGTAATCACTTCGTCACTGCTTGAATTTAAAAAACTCTCCACAAAGACAATTATCATCGTATTGTACATAAACCACCTTTTAATCCCTATTTATAAAAAGGAAAACTACATAAGTATAAAATTGCACTGGAACAAATGCACGTTATTCCAGCACAGTATATCTGTTTTGCTTGGGTTGCACTGATATAATAAAATCAACACAATTAAATCAATTCATGGGAATTTGTCTGGTGAGTTTTTTTAACACGCTTGGTATGATGAGGCCTGAATCCTGTCTGGGCTTCCATAAAGACAGTAAGATTGGTGACGGGGAGAACTGCCCCTCCAGCGTGTGTTTGCTCAGCCTTGGGGTAAGCCCAAGCTGTCAAAAAAGCATCAGCAGCTCCTGGCAGTCCACACTTCTCTTATTAGCGTGTGGAGGCAGGAGAGTGAAATTCTGCTTTAGAAAGGCCGGGGCAGAGAGGGACCACATCTAGAGTACGTCGTAACATCAGAGAGCCTAAAACGTGTGGTGGGTAAGTCCAGGAGTCTTTCTAGGGCCATAATTTGACAATTTGGCTGCAAACACAAGACAAAGAGTATCGTACACAGAACACTCGCAGATTATAGTGCGGCAGCAGTATATAGTTGTCTGTGTAGGTGATCATTAGATCAAGAAAAAATTGACCATAATGGTTATTTTTTATATTTGCCCTCTGTGTACTGGAATGAAATTATCAAACCACTTAATTTCAGGTGCTTGATAATTATCAAATAATGATTTGTGTTACTACCTACTTCTCATTTACTCTACTGCTTTGGCCCCAGGCTTTATCTTTGCAGGTTTTGTAGTGAATTTAAAAGATGACAAATGTTCAGCTCTATAGTCTCTATAAGTCCTCTACTTCATCACAGAACACTCTTAAAGTAGCTGTTTCCCTACTTTTTCCATTCAGCCTCTCTCAGAGGTAATCCGAGGTGTGAAGGATCACTGCTAGGAATAAAAGAACATTCTCAACACTCATTAAATATTTCTGGTCCTTTTGCTGAGATTCCCAGGCATGGCGGTGCCCATGACAGTCTTTTAGACTGAAGATGGTAATTCATTTCAGATAGGTCACTGAAGATTGTTAATAAATAATACCGATACTTAATTCTTCTATCATACCTCTCACAGGAGAGGTGTGCTAAAAACTGCCTGTGAATGCTAGATTGAAGCTACGCCAGGCGATGGCTTCATACACCGGAAAGGTGTTTACACAACCTATGTCTGAACTTGAGGAGCCGGTGGAGGTTTCCTTCCTAACAAAGGGTGAAAGATTGGCTTCTGCAGGGCAGATGGTTCCAAGTGCTAAAGCTGGGGTCTTGCTTTGAACCGTCCGTAAAGGGAGCGGAGGGAGACAAGGCTCACTAGCCTCTGTGAATTTGGGTCTCTGGGGTTAAAGGAACTGGAGGGAAGCTGCTGTTATCAACTATTTAAACTTGGGGCTAAATCCTTCGCTGGCTGCTCCCATCAGGGTGAATTGAGGTAGTGTTCAGTACATCCTCTGCCAAGGGGGATTCATTCGGGCAAAGCCAGAGCCCCCTGAGGAGGAATGGGTATGTATTGCAGAGGCTCCTTTAAACAGAAACAATCTCTGTCTTCAGCTGCCAGTTCTTGCTGACATCAGCGTAAGAACTAGCAGGTTGCTGGGGTGAACGCATACATACCTTGATTAGCAAGCCAAGCTCCCTCGGGGCTATAGGAGAGAAAAAAAATAGCCCATTCTCAACGCTATCTGTTCAAGTCTGCTCCCTGATTTCATCATCTGCCTTTATCCCTCCTACTTTGCTCCCTGTTTCCCTCTTTGCTATTTGTCATCTTCCTGGTTGTTTTTTCCCCCCTTTTCCTTCTCCTCTTTATGTCTTCCTTCATCCTCCTTCCTGTTTTTTTTCCCTCCTTGTCTTTACATCTGAGATTTATCTTTTTAGCTGGTCTTCTGTACTGCTAATTCTGCCTGCTCCATCCTCCAAGTTCCCTTTCTGCCATGTCTCACTCTTCTCTCGCTTGCTTTTCACCTTCACTGATGCTCTGTTTTTTAGGAGTTGTTTTAAAGCGTTAAAATCTGGCCAGAGGTTGAGTTTCCTATTTTTGTGTCATGCAGGTGGCAGGCTTCCAGTGGAAATAGTGCCAAAGGAAGAACAGCAGCCCAGAGGAGATTTCACACTTTACAGCAGTATTTAAAGCATTCTGAATCTGATTAGGGGGTATGGCTGAAAGTCACATAGCTTCCTGGTCCTACACAGCATTTTTTAAAAGCTGTCAGAGCGAAAAATGAAATACTGGAACTAAAGCCCCTAAGCAAGTTCCAGCTCCAGTTCAGTACTCCGACATGGTGTCAGTCAGCACACAAACACCTACTGCAACGGCTGGATTCACAAGTGCCATAAGCCACCTTTGGATCAAAAGTGCCATTCGATTTTTCTCACTGTAAATGTCTCTTATAAATTCCTCTAGATTGACTTTGCAATCAGAATTTGACTTACAGACATTTTCTCTGACAAACGAAGGGGAAAGGGTAAATGTGTAGCACTGTGGCATCAGGAGGAAAAAAAGATACTGCAGATGTACTGCTTTTTTCAGATGTAATAGGAGAAGTGAATGAACAAACCAACCTTCTGTCAGAAAAAAAACATACAAAGATGGTAAGTCCTTAAGAAGAATGCCTTCTCTGTGTATAATAAAAGGCATATTTCACTGCTCATAGCTATATATACACATCTACACACATGCACACACAGAGACATGGGTACATAAATATTCAAAACAGTTGCAAATTTGTCTTAAAAGTATTCCATATCAGCTCACTACACTTTCATTATGAAATACTGAGGTAAAAGATCTCCATGAGAAACCTCTCGAGTCCCCTTTTCCCAATTTCCACTCTATTCTAGGTAAGGAAGAGAAAGATGGATTTAATAAGAGGTGCAGCACGCGGGAGTGCTGGTAAGAGATCTCACAATTTTTTTTTTGGCTTGGGATTCACTGGCTTTGTCTCAGTTTGGCAAAAGATTATATCCTTCATGACATAATCCATGTCAGTATCCTCTGCCTCCAGCCCCAGTGTTACACTTTCCGTTTTTCCTTTTTTTTCCCCTCCTTTTAATTAAATGAATATAAAATACAGCATCTAAACAACAAACAGGAACAAAAAAAGCACAGGGATCAGCTCCAGCTAATAGAAGACATCACCGTGTGGGTTCAGAATCAAGGCCGGGCGAGGAAGCCTCTCCCCTGAGGAGAAGGCAATTTCCTTGCCACTGTGCTAAGGTTATTGCAATGCCAGCATCCCTAAATAACCACACACTGCGCCTTACCACCCCTTCGTCTCTCTCCCCGTCCTTTTGGCCGGACTTGTATTGCTGCCGAGTGCAGGGCTGGACTGTGTAGAGACTCAATATTTGGTAGAAGCTCTTTACAGAGCTTCTTTTTCAGAAGAAATAGATATATAAATGAGAAAGAGTAATGAAGTTCTTTAATTAACATGGAGTGTACCCTCAGGCTTTGCCTTCAGGTTCAGAGCACTGTCTGTAGCAAGCCCATTGCACTGACAGGTGGTCTGGGGCTGGGAGAAGCAGAAATCTCCCAGAGGAACCTGTCAGTCAACATGGATCGGTGTTGATTCCTCCTGCTAGGTAATTGCTCAAGTAGAAGTCTCTCCAAATTGTTCAGGATTCAGGAGGAACTGTACAAATAAAAGACTGTCTAATCTTGCAGTGCTGCTATTTTTAAGATGATTTAAACCTTAAAAAAAAGTGCCCCAGGAAAAAATATTGCAATTATCAAGATGATCGTCACAGATCACCATCTCTGGAAGTTGAACGTTGATGTCAGACAACTTCTTCACGAAGCAGCTGCACCGCACGGCCTCCCTGGTGTCTCGCTTGCAAATGACCAGGGAGGCTGTACGGCTAACGCTGCAAAGGCACACTGCTGATGCAAAAGCTCTGCTCTCAAGCTAAACTGCTGCTCTCTGGCTGCTAAAAAGGAAAAGGAAATGTGGTTACACAAAAGGGAGCTTGAGAAATAGCAAATTTTGCTACTTGACTCTGCATTGGAGTTGTTATCATCTGTAGCCATTCCGTACATTTGACTAGCCCTCAGAACGCTCTCTTACAGCCTAACAAATAAATCTTCAAAGAAACCCTGGGATCAAGGCAGTGTAAGCACAAGCTTTAAGTCAGCTTTGCATGACAGCTTCTGATTTATGCTTTCAAACGGACCCACAGATCTCTGCCTCAGTTTGTAGTTACCACTTGCAAAATACATAAGGGCATGCAGTGCCTTAATATACCTCTCCCAGAAGAATAAAGTCTTTATACATACTCTATTAAATTAGACGGTTCGGAGAAGAATTACATTTTCCTGAAGACTGGATTTTTGAAAAGACTATCTAGAAGCTTCTATTTTTAATTAATTGCAAATTCTGTAGCATTCTAGGCAACTTTAATGTCCAAATTTGTCCTCACTAAGTCTATTTAACTACTACCATTTTCATATAAACATTGATAAATATTGCTAAGAATGAAGTGCTGAATGTCTTTTTTATGATACCAGTAGAACATACAGTAGAGGCTTTACCATTTCCCTTATCCTTGGGGAAGTACTTAAGCAGATAAAGTAATTAATAATGTGAGTTCCTAGCTTATATAGTAACAACAGAATATTTGTTAGCTGTACATGTAAGAAGATTTCAAATAAATTCAGTAGTTCTATCTGTAGTTCAATTCTTTGAAAGAAAAAAAAATCGTGTAATTGGATTTACTTGTTGGAAAAAAGCTATTTCACAGTTAAGAAGGGAGACGTAGCAGAAACTCTTTAGCCACGTCTCTCATTAACGTGCAGTAAAATGAGCTAGATGCTCTGCTTGGGTTAACCAACATACCTTTATGCAAGCCGTTTGACCTGTACACTTAACTCCAGATAAGAATCTGTCCCTGTGTAACTAGAAGATAACAAACTGTATAGCAGACATAGGAAAAAAGCACCTCAAGAAGACAGTGGCAGGAAATGATTGATTGACTTTGTGTTCGTTTGGTAACCTCAGGAGGTCAAATACAAGGGAGGTCGTAGCGCTTCTAGGTCTCAAAAGTGCATATATTCTAAGAGCTGTGTTCTGTCTTCTTAGGAGTTTGCCTGGGACACTAGCCAGAATAGCACCGCAGTAGCACCTGGCAGATAAAATTAAAGCATGAATCG